GAAGCAATTAACAGTATTTGCTGCTGCCATTTTAGAAATCAATGGAATTTCATTGCAACATTTCCAATATTTACTCTTTCTGTTGAAAATGAAAGCATTCTGATTGTATTTCTCTGGAATTAGGGATAGTCAGTTTCAGCTGAGCTGGCAGTAAAGTTGCTACTACAGGAGTTACCGGTTACAAATTAGGGAGAATTTTTACTTAAATTCCACAAACATTGTTCCAAACTTTTACACAGCATGCTTATGTTGAATGATGACACAGAACAGACCGAGTTTGGTGCAAACTATCCCAAGGTCAATAGTCTCCCAGCACTAAGTCAAGATTTATAAATGAGGGATAGTCACGTGAGCAAGATCCAAGCAAAAGCAGAAGGTAAATTCTCCACTTTCAGGAAAGCAATGGGTTGTATTCATGCATTTTCCTACAAAGCATTCCTGACATAAGAAACTTCACATTGGAAACAGGCAAGTGGAAAAATTGTTTTTGTACCCTGGGAGCAGGCTGGGCATTATACTTTGAAACTACAGTGGAAGGCAAAATAACTAATATTAACAATTATTCATAATTATTACTACAAATTAATATAAAATTCATTAACTGTAGAATACCAATAAAGCTCCCAATAATAATTTATATCGTTACCTATTCTCTGTGGGCTTTGAGGCCTCTGCTCGTTTGCATGTAACCTGTAAAGCACCAGACACGTTAAATTCATGCAAAAGCTTCCACACCGAGTCAATGGGCTTATTCCAGGAACTAAACACAAAACATTTTAATGCAATAGTTTGAAGGTAGCAGTGGGAGGATTGCAACATTAACACATTCAATGCTGGCAATGCCGGTGATTCCTGTGTTCACCTGAGTGACACATTTCTCGAAAAATAAATTTATACCTGAATTCTGCTTTTCTCACTCTGCCATTGCCAGATCAAGACAAACGCAAAACAAACCCTGACCTAGACGTTGCTAGAGTGGTGTAGCTTGCAGCAAGTCTTATCATTTTGTTTTAACCTCAACTTTTGAACAGTCTTACTTTTGCACCATAAATTGCTTAGGACTTGTTTAACCACAATTGTGCATCTGGATCCAATTGTATGGCAGGTCCCACCGTCTATCTCACAAATCAATGAAAGATAAGTGTAGAGAAAGAAACAGCAAAATCAACTTCTATTCATTGACAGGATGTGTGTGTTAAAGGCTAGGCCAGAGGACAGTTAAGAACCTACCACCTAGCTGTGGATCTGGAGTCACATGTTGAGAAACCAGGTAGGGACAGCAGTTTCCTTCCCCAAGGGACATCGTGAAACAAATGGATTTTTCTGAACAATTCATAATTTCAGATTTTTTATTTCTATTGAATTCAAATCCCATCAACTGCCATAGCAGGATTCAAACCTACGACATTACTTGCATCTCTGAATTAATAGTCTACCAAGAATACAAGCAGACCATTGTCTCCATATAACTCAGATGAGTTAAGTTTCAAATTTATTAGGGATAGTAAAATAACACCTAAAGGAAAATAAGATGAATTGAAATGATTAAATTTGAGGAATCTGTCAGAATAATTTATACCTACCTATGGAGGTGAATCAACACAGTTACACTTTTTCTCTTTCTGAGCCTCCAAGGTTGAGTTTCATGCCAGGAATCACGTAAATAACATGATTCTGACAACATTTACTACCACTCCTAAGTTCTTGTGATGAGAGTCATTCATATTCACGGCCCAAATCTAGAATCTGTCTGGTCCTCTTTGAGAGGTCATGGCGCCATCCTCCCCTTATAAATCCAATAGCTGAGCATGTAGGAGCTCAGAACTTTACAGCAGGAATAAGCCCATTGAGCCCTTCAAACCTGGTCTCCCACCAATAAGATCATAGCTGATCAACTCTACTTTTCTATCTGCACCCCTTAACCCTTGACTACCTGGTTTATCAAAAATCAATTTAAGCAAGCCGTGAATAAATGTAATGACCTAGTTTCACTTGTTTTCTGGGAAAGACACTAGTAATAGGCTCAAATGAGAGGCATTGGAAACTCACCATTACTGTCCATCAGTTTTCAGAGTCTTGTCTATGGGTATCAGAAGAAATTGTTGCATCAGCGTGAAAGTGCTTTTTAAACAGAAAGTGGCTGACACATGGACAAACTTGTTCGGATATTTCCTTTTACAAATGGATTGATTTATGTTACTGAAAATGTATTGGAGGTTTCATGCTTCAGGAAGTTACAGATCTCCAGCTACTTAATTTCTCAGCTTAAGTCAGAACCACAGGCAAGAAATCTCTCCCATTGCTTCCCCATAAAGTTGCCAGTGATTATATCAGTGATGTGGAAAATCAATATTATAAATAACTGGCTGTACAAAATAAATTGTTGACATTGCCTGCACTGTGCCATTATTAAAACACACTTCCTACTGTTTTCATGGAAATAATATACATCTTTATACAAAAAGGTGAATTGAAAAATATCTGACAGATGAGGCAATGGCATTTTACTTTTAGAATGAAAGTGTGGAGAGGGGGCAATGGGAAACAGGAGTCACTAGGTGCTGCAGCAGATTAGTTGCTGTCCCCTCATCTCTGGGATCTGGATCAAGTTCAATCCAGTACAGATGGATAGAGTGCACCACTTCTCTATCTGTTAGCTGTAAAAATCTTTGCTGAAGTGACATTGGTTCCTGACAATACCTTTTCTGCTGGGCAAGGACTGGCATTGCAAACCTGATTCTAACGTTTCAAAAAATGAGGCCACAAGATTGCTGCATCTTGGTAATGGATAAATCTTTCACTGGCACACCGTGTTGTGGAACAAGAAATGTTTCTTGTAGCCCAACCCCAGTTGTGGTGACGATCCAGCTAGTGGACACACACAAATTCAGAACTATCTAAAAGTGGACAGTGCCACCACAATCTATTTGGATTCACTGGCTCTCCACAGGTAAATAACCATCTACAACCAGTTTGTGTTATATTCGGGAGTCAAAATAAATCAGAACCAACATGAGCCATTACTTTTCATAACTGGGCTTAAAAGTCCTCTGTCTTCTTCACAGTCAGATCAGCTTCCTTGAAAATGTTGGGAATATGGCCTAGAGAGGTCATGGCATCCATCAAGTACTGGGACAATTGCATAGCTAAAATAAAATGGAAATTGGGAAAGACGACATGACATTCACTCTCAATCCTGGACAAGAATTTAGTCATCCGAAGGTAAAGAAACTCACGGCTGCTATACACAGTCCAGTGCATTCCATATCTTAGCCAGCACCAAGATAGTCAGCTGACCCCTTTTCCATTTTATCGTGAAATTGAGAATGAACTATCTGGACAGAGTCACATCTGGTGGGGGCAAAAGGAAGGAGACTGTATAAACAATGTTACCCTCATCCTGATGGCTATCAATTATGCTCATCTGTATCAACCGATGCAGATACCACTAATTCTCTATAATTTATAGTAAGTGAATGGGTATAGAAGTGCCATATCCTGGCATGAGGGACATGAAGGGCCATGTTGGGGTGAAATTTGCTATATGCCTCTACTTGTCTTGAGGATAAAAATCTCAGGCCTTAATATTTTAAACTCCCTTCCAATTCATACCTCTTCATCTTTAGGGATTCAAATTCCACCCCAAAGTTATGGTGTTATCTGTCTTCTGTACTGAAAAGGATGGGTCTGATCAGATTGCCATATGAATGCTCCATTCAGTTTAACTGTGCTGTGACACCTTTCCCTTGTGGAAAATTTTGTGCAGAGAAAGATCTTTTATCATAACTTCATTAGATAGTGGTCAGCAATTAGTCTCTATGGAACAAAAGTCCTGTGAATTGTGAGGAATAGTTCCCAGCTAACTGCCAAATTTATTTGGCAAAATGTCTCATTGGGAGAATGTCCTACCTACACCAAGGTGTAAATTGATAGATGGCGAAAAGGGTTCTTCCCATGATGTCCTTCATTCATTACCAACTGTCTCAGACCCAGATCAATTGTCCTCCAAGATGGCAGCAGTGGGGAATGTGCATTTGCAAAGAACATCTGGGGAAAAGGTACAGTAGTTCTGTTGAGATTCATCTCCAGCAGCTCCAGAAGAAAGGAATCCGCATCCTTTATGAGAGACAGTAAGAACTGCCGATGCTGGAGTCAGAGATAGCACAGTGTGAAGCTGGATGAACACAGCAGGCCAGGCAGCATCAGAGGAGCAGGGAAATTGATGTTTCAGGTTATGTCTGCATTCTTTGTGCTATTTCTGGGCGCAGACTTAGATCAACATCAGCTGTGACTAGAAGACAATTAACTCAGTGAAAGATGTTCTTTGATCTACCCAAAAGAAAGGAATTGTCCATGATGGTCCATGATTGTTAAAGCCTTGCAAATTTCAAAATCCAGAACATCATTTTGAGGATGCACTGAGGTAGCCTGAGACTATGATCACAAATGGGAACCAATACATTTTAGGGCCCTCCCAGCATAATGCACCAAGGTTTGGAACCTTTGGAAACATGTCTATCAGAAAATGTATGATATGCTGTAAATATACATAAAATCGTCATTGATATAGACAGACTTGAGTCTGTCTTGTACTATGCTTCACCATACTGATTTGTATTATACTCTGCAAATTGTCATATTTCAATTGTACTGTTACGTAACTTGACAAATTTTACGAATGAACAATTTACATTTATAAGTGTTTTATTTATTGTGTGTATTTTTTTTGTAAAAGAAAAGTCATTTGTGTGCTAAGGGAGTTCACAAATGCTCAAATAAATGATCCAACAAGCAAACAAAATACAGGCTGATAACAATGATAGCAGACTATGGACTCTTAGTCCTAATTGTCATCATATTGACTGAGGAGCAGTTAGCACAGGACCATTATTATCAGGAAAGATAAGGATTGTAGAAAGATCAGGAAGAAAATGGTTTTCCTTTGGATCAATTGAAAGAAAAAAATCTTACGCGTTCTAATGAGTAAGTAATGATTACTTACATGCAGCTAGTACTAAGCCATTCTTGAATACTTTGTTGCTTATAGTTTCCTAAAGGAGCACAAAATTGAAGATAAGTAGTGATCAGAAAGATTAAGCAATACAATTCACTTCATCCATCCCTCCATAGTGGCATCAAGTTTGCTACGATAATACCCTGCCCAAATTTCCTTCCACACATTTTAAATAAGGTATTGGAGTGTAAGGCAAATTATAGAAACGGTAAACAAAACTGATAAACTCACTTATTAATGTAAAGAATTAAAGTATTGAAAAATAAATTGGTTTCACGTTTGCTAAGCTTGTGTCTTTACCAGTTTTTGGAATTCTCTTCAATTATCAATTGCATCATTGTCAACCAAATATTAGGAAGGTCAAACTGATTGTCTTTGGTCAGCTGAAGAAGGGTCTAGACCCGAAACATCAGCTTTCCTGCTCCTCTGATGCTGCCTGGTCTGCTGTGTTCATTCAGCTCTACACCTTGTTATCTTAGATTCTCCAGCACCGGCTGTTCCTACTATCTCCTAGTCTAGACCCTAACTTTTTCTTATTTTAAAGGTAAGTATAAGATGCTGTGCTCCAGATGCAATGTGATTGGTCAAACTATTCGTTGTTAAGCAATACACAATTCATTCATATGTTCTAGTTAAAATACAACAAAAGAAAAAATAAAGTAAAAGAATTGGTTTAGCTGTAACTCAATTGAAATGCTTAACAAAATAATAGATACAGTAACTATTACTAATTAACTACTATTTACAATATAGTAACAGCCCATAAACATACCCTTGGCAAAATGCAAAATCAGAAAATAGATTGTCTCACATGCAACTCCAGCAGCAAGAAGAAAACTCCCAGCTTTTAGCTGCAACCGAGAGAGGAGAGTGTAGCAGGGAGATATATACTACAGAAACAGACCCAGCAACAACTGCAACTGATAAACTAAGAAACTCAAAATCCTGATTCTGTGAGAGCTTGACCACCTCCATTCAGGCTGCTTCTATTGTTCCAACTTTAAAAAAAAACAACTGAAGGCCTGACAAGCTGTTTACAAGTTTTCAATAGTCATCTCTACACCTCTGTCTTAAAACCATTTTTTTTAAAAAAAGGACAAAATAGACCCTGTTAAAGCCATAGTCTCATCACACTAGACACTGCAGTGTCTCAGCGCATCTGCTGCTAAAACCCTAACTCATGCTTCTGTTACCTCTGGATTTGTCAACTTGAAAGCACTCCTGGAGGCATCTCAAATTCTATCCTTCATTAAATTGTGTTCATCTAAATCTATGATATCCATATTCTAACGTACAACCTTGGCTTTTGTGCTCAATAGCCAACATAAACTTGCTGTTAAGCAACAACAGGTTTTTTAAAAATTCTCCTCATTTTCAAATCTCTCAATGGTCTGGTCCTTTGTGATCTACATAAACATACTCCAAACTACAATCCTGTGAGAAATCTTTGCTTCTCTAATCCTGGCCTCACGATTGTAATTGTTTTATCATTAGCTGCTATACTTTCAGCTGCCAAGGCCGTATTGCAAAGGAATAAGGGTCAAATGATATCTTAAAAATAAAGAAATTTACATTAAAAATTTACTTTTTGCTATGCTCACAGAAAATAAAACACATTGCTTACAAGAGATAGCTTCTAAGCGCATAATGGTTGATTGCCTTCACCACAATGTGAATTGATTGATAAGAAAATACACAAACTTAAAATTTACATTCTATGACTTTTTTTGTCTTATATTAGCATGCAAACATACATTGCCAGTTCTGATACCATTCAGATAGAAGAATATTAGACCACAATTCTTGTTATCTCCTTTGAAGATGTATTTGATTTAGCAAAAATAATTGTGACCGAAGATCCATCTTTTCTTCATTACAATAGGTAGATCTTTCACCAAATATGAGAAATCAAAAAAGGAAGGTTTAGCATGAATAAAAAAAAGTTCCACAATTCATTATATAACCCCAAGTATTTAATGTAAGTATGTGAACATACTTTGAAACAATTGGACTTTCATTTTGAATGTAGAGTATAACATAGCCAGGGATTAAAGCAATATAACTATAGTATTTAATCAATATCCACTCCTTTCTAAAAATCACTGTAACATGTAAATTTTAATACTCACATTCTTTATTAGAAATAAAAACAGCTATCTTTTCCTTTTCCAGATTGATTCAGATTCATGGTTTATGCTTTTCATGTAGACACTAAATCGCACATTTGTTAGTTTGAAAACTTTTGTATGTTTTAAAGTTCACACTGTCTCACCGTGTCTTCTGTATCAATAACTCAAAAAATCTAACGCTCTTCCCTTTTGGTCAGGGAGTAATTACTGAGGAGTTTAATTTGAACACATACAATGTCTGGGAAAATTACAATCTGACTGATTAAAAATAAGAGATTATCAGGAAGAAGATAACAATCTCTACTGGCTCTTATCCTTTGGATAAAGATTGATCAGATCCAATTACATGTCCTGGAATTCGGATTCCCTGTACCTGATGTTGAGGGTAGTCAATCAGGAGGTAGACTTAATCTATTGTAGCCCCAAAAAGGGGCGAGCATTGTACTACATCACAATATGTTATTTGTTCTTTCAATAAACCACTTAACCTTTTTGGCTCTCCTTCCTCCTTCAGGAAGCTACTTTTTTAAACCTATCCTTCTGACCTAGCTCTTGGACACCTGCCTTACTTGTACCCCAACATGCCAAAGAGCCAGCATTGTCAAAAAAGCAAAGAATAATTGTACAATCTTGTAAGAATCACCAGTATATAGTGACTCAAGATAAAGTTTCCACTCAATTGCACTACGTACATTAATACCACACAATTAAGAAAATCTATGATGAAAACATTCATCATCAGATTAAAGCTCATTTTAACACGTATAAGTGCAGATTCATTGTTATTATTATTGTTATCTCCTTCCTTAGAGGTATCTTTTTGATGTGTCATTTCAGAGACTCTGTCTCTTTTGCTCTGGACAACAAATCACATAATGACACTTAGAGTCAAAACTAAAGCACCTTTTACATGGATATTCCTACGGTTCATTCACTCTTATTGTTGTTTACGTGGGTGAAAAGGTAATTAATGAAGTAGTTGAAGATGGTTGGATGTGGGACACTACTCTAAGCAAATCTGGCAAAGATGCCCTGAGGCACGAATGATTGACCTCCAACAACCGCAATCATCTACCTTTCTGCTGGGTAACTAGGAAGGTGATGCTGGAATTGTATGAAATATTGGTCAAGCCAGAGCTAGAGTATTGTGTGCAGTTCTGGAATCCACATTATAGGAGTGATGTGACAGCACTGGTCAGGGTCCAGAGGATATGTACCAGGATGTTACCTGGGCTCAGTTCTGAAGATAGAATGGACAGACTGGGGTTGTTTCCCTTAGCGCAATGGAGATTTAGATGGGACATGATTGAGATGTATAAAATTATGACAGGTATAGATAAGATATACATGAAGAGACTGTTCCCCTTAATGGAGGGATCAATGACCAGGGAGCATAGATTTAAGTTAAAGGGTAGAGGGTTTAGAGGATTTGTGAGGAAAATCTTTTTCACTCAGATGGTGATGGGAGTCCAGAACTCACTGCTTGTAAGGATGGCAGAGGCAGAAACTCTCATAACATTTATATAGTATTTTGATATGCACTTGCGATGTCAAGAACAAGGTTATGGGCCAAGTGTTGAAAAATAAGATTAGAAGATTTGGATGGTTGTTTTTGGTTGGAGTGGACATGATGGGCCAAAGGGCCATTTTCTGCCTTGTAGATCTCTGTGACTTTATCACTATGTAGGACTCCAGCCAGTGGAGGATTTGCCTGCTGATTTCCATTTAATACAATTTTATTTGGACTGTTTGTTGCTATCCTGACGTCAAGGGTAAATAATGTCACTAATCATCTCATAACTTGAATTCAGCTCTTTTATCTATGTATGAATAAAGGGTATACTGACATCAGGAGCCAAGTGTCCCTAGCAGAATCTAAACTGAACATTGATGAGCAAGTGCTATCGTGATTGTATTTCTTAGCTTCCCCCACTTTACGAATGATTGAGAGTAGGTTGATGGCTTGATCATTTGTTATATATTTTGAGGACAGTCATACCGAGGGAAATCTCCAATATTTTTGCATAAATGCAAATTTTTGTAGCTATATTGGAACAGCTTGGCTAAAGGCACAGCTGGTTCTAGGACAGAGGTCTTCAGACCTACTCCTGGCATGGTATCAGGTCCCATGACCTTTGCTGTGCATTTGGCCATTTCTTGATATCAGATGGAGCAAATCAAATTAATGGAAGACTTGCCTCTGTAGTGATGTGGGCATCTGGTGGAGGCCAGGATGGATTTTTGACTCAACATTTCCGACTGAAGGTAATTGCAAATACTACAGCCTTCTATTTTTCACTGATGTGCGGGGTTCCCCCTATTTAAGGACAGGAATGGTGAAGGAATTTTCTCCCCTGGTTTGTTGTTTAGTTGTCCACTGCCATTTGTGGTTGGATGTGGCAGAGTTAGAGAGCTTTGAAGAGATCTGCTGTCTGTGGATGATTTAACTCTATGAATTACCTATATTACTAATACACCCATAACAGTAATTTATCCGTCAAGACTTGGTACATTAGATGAAGAACTTGCTCCCACATTATTCCCTGACATTTATTAACAGGAACACCCTAAATCTCTTACCACCCTTTGTATGGAGAGAGGTAGACATATCATCCACTACAGTTCCTGATGAATTTCCATCCATGACTGTCCACGTATCCTTCATTGATGCTTGAGTTATCCTCTTTGACTTGTCAAGGTCGCTGAGCACTGATGGATGAACTGAGATTGAAGCCATTTTCTTGATAGCTTGGAATCTTCAAGCAGCATTTAGGCTGCAAAATATGACAAAAAGATCTTATTTAATTTTTGCTACCATAAAAAAGCAGCCCCAAATCCAGTTTCAGGGATCACCTTAGCCAGATGTTGGATGACATTTTTAATCAGCTCAGATATTTACATTTGGTTTGCATTTTGTTTAAGTGGCACTGGCTCTGTGGAAGAGAATTAACCATGTATGTACAGCCAGATAGAAAAGAAATCCCTCTCCAACACATGTTGCCCATAGCCTTCTCCACCAACACAAATTTCTCATGGATGACAAATCATGGGAGATGTATGTGAAATTTTAGCACATTCCACAATCAAGTTGTCCTTTAGTCTCCAGACAAGGCAAGTGCCAAATATCCTTTGATTCAGACACAGTGATGTATTTCACTGAGAATTATACTATCACAATGTTTATCCGTAAACAAATGAGATTAAATTTTTGAAGGCAAATAAAGTTGGTGTCATTTTGTTATCTTAATATTAAAATTTGAATAAATCCAATGAGGTCAAATTTCAGGTATCAATTCTGTTCTATTCTTCTCTGGCTGTAATCATGATAATTTCTGGTTGGCTTAAGGATGTTCTTGAGTCATAATGGTACAAAAGGAAGCCAATTGGTCCATCGAGACTGTGCTAGCTCACCAGCAATCCAGTCAGTCCCATTGCCTTGCTCTACACCCACACACAATAACTTTATTTCTCCCAAGTGCCCATCCAGTTACCGTTAGGAATCATTATCATCTTCCCTTCCACTACTTTAGGCATTGAGTTCCAGGTCAGTCACTGCCAATCTGTACCTAAGACATTCTTCCTTACATAACTCTGTATTTACCTGAATGTTACTGTTGGATCCTCGTCCTTATTCTACAACTAACAGAAATAGGTTCTCATTGACTACCTTATCTAAACCTCTTGTAATCTTGTACAATCAAACTTTTCCTCAATCTCCTCTGTTTCAGGAAGAACAAACCTTCTACAGGTTGGCCTTGTGGTTAAAGTGACTCATCACTGGAATCATTCACAATCACTCTTGTGCACCACCTCAAGAATGCTTGTGTTTACCTAAAGTTAAATGACCAGAACTAAATGCTGTACTTTAATGGGGCCTCTCATTATGAGTCTTTGAACTCCATTTTTCTCTCCACAGATGCTGCCAGACCTGTTGAATTTCTGTCTCACTTTCTGTTTTTATTTGAGAGTTTTATAAAGGTTCAGAATAAGCTATTAGTTTACATGCTCAATACCTCGGTTTAGCTCTCTTATTATTTGGAAGACAATAGATGGATCAGTAGCATAATACCTTTCTTCCTTCTGAATCCTAACCAATGGATTCTCTCATTGCTCCCTTGGTCATGATAATGTAGAAGTTCTCTTGGTTAAAGGTTGTTGAGGTACAGTTAACTAACCATCCATCAAGTACCCATCTTATACTTTATCATTCAGACACTAAATCAGCAAAGGCATTTACAAGACAGATAATGATAGAAAGCATAAGCTTTGCATGTATTACTTGAAGTATTGTTGAACCAAATTGTTTTGAGGCTATTTGTTGGTGGCATCAATTGAAGGATTGTGGCTAAGAAGAAGTCATGATTCCTGAAGAAGTTTTCAGGGGTACTGGAATCTGATGAGTCACTCATGGACAGGTTTAGTTACCAAAAGAACCAAATGACGAAAGCCTTTTTCCCTGATGACTTATTAGGGTCGGAGAGGGTGGTAGAGGTATTCATGGGTTTTCAAAAGGTAATTGAATAATTGCTCAACAGTGGGGTGGCAAATAGAATTGTCTGATCAAGCTGAGTGTTTGTCCATTTACACAAGAGACTGGAAATAGGGCATTAACTTAGAATAAAACTTCCTGTCTACAAAGTTATGGTGATACATACATTCCAATATTCCTGGGATACGTGGATAATCTACTCCAGACACAGGGCAGCGTGGTGGCTCAGTGGTTAGCACTGGTCCCTCATAGCGCCAGGGACCCAGGTTCGATTCTACCGTTGGGCGACAGTGTAGAGTTTGCATATTCTCCCGGAGTCTGCATAGGTTTCCTCTGGGTGCTCTGATTTCCTCCCACAGTCCAAAGATGTGCAGGCTAGGTGGATTGGCCATGCTAAATTGCCCATAGTGTTCAGGGATGTGGAGATTAGGTGGGCTATCGGGGGATGGGTCGGTGTGGGCTTGTTGGGCCGAAGGGCCTGTTTCCACACTGTAGGGATTCTATGACATGTTCTATGCCATAATAAGCAATTGGACAGGTTCCACATTTGATGGCTTTGGTTGAAATACCCAATAGTTCAAGGGAAGAGCTATCACCAATCATCCTCTCAGATGAAGGGGCGTGCAGAACATATGACTGATGATAAAATCCCTCTATGACTCTATGAACATGCATTGACAACATAGACTTGGACAACACTTGTGAAGCAGGTCAAGATTAAGTTTCATGGATTCCTTGAAGGTGAATCTCAGATAATATGGACGTCCACCAGAGAAAGGAATACTAACGAAAGAACAAGATAGAAAGCATTCTTAAACAGTGCTGTTGCTTCCTTTGAACAACAAAGGACTAAAGGCAAGATAGAAAGGCTAGGCAGTCTGAGGAAAATCAGACAATTTACTCATGCCAGCACTACTGAAAGACATATTGGTCTATGATCTTATTCTACATCCATATTAGAATGCACAATAAATGGTAAAAGGTGCAGTAAAGTCACTAAAGTCCTGCCAGATCATGGAGTTGCTCTGTCATTACAGATAATTGGTGATGGTTTCACCTAAGGGTTACTACGCCTCAGGCAAAGGGAGAGATTGAGAAGGAGGGTCCTTCATGATAACCTCGACTCATTCAGGAATTAAACCCACGGTATTGACATCACTTTTTATCAGAAACCAGCCACAATAAATGACCCTACACAGACACAAGAAATGGCCAGCTTCAATAACAGTGATAGGGGCAATAATGATGGCTAATCCATCTCTAGCCCACCACCTATGAGGCACAGAGTGGAAGTGTGATGGAGTACTCTTCATTTGCCTGCATCAGCGATATCCTTAACCTCAATACCATCTGACACAAAACTGCACAGTTGTACAACACCTTATTCACTTGAACTCTTTAATCTTCCACTCAACCCTGCACAGTGGTTACAGTGTACACAAACTACGTGATGTACTGCAGCAACTTGCTAAGGATTCACAAATGCTAACTTCCAGTTCTTTGACTTCCACAACTCAGAAGCATAAGACAAACAAATAGATGGAAATACCACAACCACAGTTCCTACCCGCAAATTACAGCATCCTAAGTTGAATACATATTACAATGTCTTCATCATCACTGAGTTAATATCCTTGAATTTGTTAACTGAAAGCAGTGTGGAGCAGCTGTGTATAACTGAGTGGCTGTGAGTCAGTCTAGCTTTTGCAAATTTTGTAGGTGATATATTTATACTGTAGCTGTTACAGGCTGCCAGTCTTATCAAACTAACGGAGATTTTCTTCACAATTCAGCAAAGTTCTGCAGTCACGCCAAATGGCAACTCAGAATTTGTTTAGCTACAATCCCTCAACGCATGAATCGAAAATGTTTTATTTTCCAGACTGGAAGCTGAATGTTATTCCAGTTATATCATCCAGTGGTTTGAAATCTATATTAATTCAATTTTTCAATGACCAGAACACCTAGTGGTGTTGGTGGTGCTGCTGAGTTATTGCAGTGGTACAGGCACAGAAATGCTGGTGAAACTCAGCAAGCTTCTGTTCTGAAGAGGAGTCATGCTGGACTTGAATGTTAACTCTATTTCTTTCTCCACAGCTGCCACCAGACATGTTCAGTATCTCCAACATTCTCTGTGTTTGTTTTGGTTTACCAGCATCAGCAATATTTTGTTTCATTACACTGAGGCATCCACATTCAGTGAAATCTGAAATGTTGAATGGCTCTGGGAGATCTCAGGACCTTTGAATGTTGTAGAACTATATTATTCGCAGAAAATCATCCCTGGTAACAACAGCAGTGAGAGATGTGCAGTGAAACCAGACTGATACCTGGAAATTTCTTATGAGGAAATGGCTAAAGTCCACTGGATTTTAGAAGAGTAAGAGGCAGCTTGATTCAAACTTACAAGATCCTGACTGGTCTTGACAGGGTGATGTGGATTGAGTGCTTCCTTTTGTTGTGGAATCTAGAAACTTGGGAACATTGTTTAAAAATAAGGGGTCACCCTCTTCAGACAGAGATAAAGGAGAATTGTCTTCCCCACAGAACGTTGTGAATCTCTGAAACTCTCTTCCTCAAAAGTCAATAAAAACAGGGCCTTTGAATATTTTAAGCAGAGATAGATAGATTCTTGATAAACAAAGTTTCTATGTTTCTATGAAGGTTATTGGGGGTAAATGGGAATGTGTAGCAACCAGATCAGCCATGATTTTATTGAATGCAGAACAGACACAAGGAATCAAGCTGCCTATCTCTGCTCCAAATTCATACATTTATAAAAATAAGAAGTAGTCTAAATGCTCTTACTAATTTTGAGAACCTTAAGTGCTTTAAAAAATAAGTTACTTCTCCTTCTAATCAGTTCCTGCAAAATCTAAAATAAGAGTGCACTGTAATTCATCATGTTAAGTCAGTGCTGAGATATTAAAATGCTTTAGACTTCCTCTGTTTAACATTGATAACTCGTTTGTGGACAAATATGAAATTAAGCAGCTTTAGTTAAAATAGTCATTAATGTGCTAAATAAAAATAAGACTTGTTTCAGCAAGGAGGCACTAGTACAGTGTACTTACTTGATGCTTCCAAGAAAGACAGAGGAAACCCTTCTGATTATTAGTTTTGCGTGATGAGAACAGTGATTGGGAGTGAATTCTTCTCATATGACAGTGAAATTAGTCCATGGCCAATGCTGAACATGCTGTACTACTGAGAGCATGCTAAGTGTTTGGTGCATTTGATGAGCACACTTCCTACTCACCTAATTTGCATTTTGGAGCATTTATT